ATGGCTTTTTAGGCACAAACTTGGCGCTACAGGTGAGTTAACCAGGTACAAAGCTCGATGGGTTGTTCGGGGCTTCAACCAGAGATTCGGAGTCGACTATGATGAGACATTTAGCCCTGTGATCAAGCCAGCTACTATATGCATCATTCTCAGCCTTGCACTCTCTCGAGGATGGCCGATCCATCAGTTGGACGTCAAAAATGCCTTTCTTCATGGCCATCTGCAGGAAGTTGTCTATGCCTCTCAGCCATCAGGATTCCAGGATCCTCACAGGCCCGACTATGTATGCAGGCTCAAAAAGGCTCTCTATGGCTTGAAACAGGCTCCTCGTTCGTGGTACCAACGATTTGCTGGGTTCATCTACACGCTAGGTTTTCGAGGGTGTAAGTCTGACACCTCTCTCTTCATCCACTCTCATGAGACAGACACGGCCTACCTACTCCTTTATGTTGATGACATCGTCCTCACAGCTTCCTCTGTGTCTCTCCTTCGGCGCCTCACTGAGCGCCTTAAAGGGGAATTTGCTATGACTGATATGGGCGACCTTCATTTTTTCTTGGGCATCAATGTTCACCGGACAGCACATGGTCTCTTTTTGCATCAGACACAATTCACGCACGACATCCTTGAGCGTGCCGGCATGATCACTTGTCGTCCCATCTCCACTCCCGTCGACACGAAGGCCAAACTGTCTGGCACATCAGGCTCTCTGGCAGCCGACCCAGCTCTCTATAGCTCCATAGTTGGAGCCCTCCAATATCTAACATTCACCAGGCCAGACATATCCTACTCTGTTCAGCAGCTCTATCTCCATCTACACACCCCCCGAGATGCCCACGTCACGGCTATGAAGCGTGTCCTACGCTATCTTCGTGGCACCTCTGTTAGACGCCTCGCACACCTCTAGAGGGGGGGTGAATAGAGGTGTTGCCCAAAAGACCAGTTTTTTGCGCGGAAACATTCTTCATGAATATTCAAAAAAATCAATGCACCACAAACAAAGTAAAGTGAAGGATAAGAGCAATGCACACACGATATATACTGGTTCGGCCTAAATGCCTACATCCAGTCCCCGAAGCAATCGTGCCCAGGCCTTCACTAACCCGTCAAACTTAACAGAGTTTGACAATCCGAATACAACTCGAGAACTTGATTTCACAAGCCTCTTATCTTACCACCGAAGTTTGATTTCACAAAACTCAGGATTTCTTCCACCTAACGTTTGATTTCACAAACCGTTAGGATTTCTACCACTTGGTGTAATCCCAACACCAAGAATACAAATCCCTTACAATAAAGTAAGAAAACAAACCGCAACCGAGTAATTCTCCCAACACGGAGTAGATTGTTGCAAATACAATGAAGTCCTTTAGAATATGGCAATATCTCTCAAAGACTCAAGCAATGAGGAAAAACTCAAGCAAGAAAGGATTTAGCAATCAAAACAATTGCCTTGCTTGGATATAAGGAGGGGATTGAGTAGAATCTCTTTGGATATTCAAAGGATATGTTCTTCAAAGTGTTCTAAGTGTTCTCATCTAGATAATCACGAAGAGGGTTGTTTATAGAAGTTAGGGAGTGGATAGAGATGAAAAGAATTCAAAAAACTAGCCGTTTGGTAGTTGAAACTGT